GTCAGCTCTGACTGCAAGGAAATGTGATTGCTGGGGGAAGCTGTCGTGTATAGCACAAGCTGCAGCCTTAGAAACATCCCAGCTTTCATATCTGCCCTTGGATCACTTCAGACCAAGCACTTGGTTTGTCAAGCAAGAAAAAGTGAGGGTGAGCCTTTGTTAATTGTGAGCTTCAGGTCAATTGTCCCCTGGCAGGAGATGTGTGTGTCTGGGCAGGTGGATGCTGCCTCAGGGGGAGGATTGAGCCCCAGACCCAAACAGTTTGATTTTCATTACTTGGGTCACATCTTCCAGCTCCATGGTGATGGCTCAGGAGCTGCTTTGCCTCTGGCATCTCTATGTGAGCAGTGAAAAGCAGCTCTAAATCCCCATTAATAACACCAGGAGACCACACGCGTTGCTCACAAGACATCTGAACTGAGGAGTCTGGCTCTGGAGGGGGAGCTCACCCCTTCAGCAAAAGGTCATCAAATAATGATGACTCTTAAGCATGGCTCTGCTTGTCAGATACCAGCCACGCGCACTCCTGCTTTGCTCTCTGGTGTAACTCTGTCAAGTGATGATTAATGTTAGGCAGGAAAAATCAATGAAGATTTATTCTGCCTGTTGTAAGCTGTGATTTTAGGAGCTGCTGATTTCTCCCAGGCAGAATTTATCTTTGATCAAGCCTGAATGTATCTTTTGTCTCCAAGTTAGGCATCGTGTCTAAAGCAAAGTGGGGTGAGAAATCCTGGCTCTGCACCATCCTACCCTAAGGAAAGCCACATTTGCTCTCAAAGAGGTCCTCCTGGGTCACAGAGAACAGCTATTTATTCCTCATGTACTCACACTGGACTGGCAGCACCCAAAAGATGAGAAATAATTCCCACGAGTGCTACGTGCTGGCTGCTACGGCTTACGATCGCTACGTGGCCATTTGTAACCCCCTTCTCCTACTCCATGGTCATGTCCCAAAGGCTTTGCACTGGGTTGTTGGCTGGTGCCTTCTTAGCTGGCGTGATCAGCTCTACCACACACACGGTTTCCATATCTCGTCTCCCGTTCTGTTGGTCCAAGACGATCAATCACTTCTTCTGTGATGGACCACCACTGCTAGCCCTCTCCTGCTCTGACACCCCTGCCATGAGGATAGCAAAAAGTAGAGTCTTCTCCTCTTTGTCCATTCATGGTTCCTAGTCAGCTGAAAGGAGAGCACTACCCTGCCCTGGTGAGAAGCAGCAGGATGGATATTGCACCTTCAAGGATGGTTCGATATTGCACCTTGATGAGGATGGTTGGATATAGCACCTTCAAGTATGCTTGGATATAGCACCTTCATAAAGAAGGGACTAAACATACTTGGAAGCATGACAGCTGGAAAACACGCTTCTCCTTAAACCAAGGCTACATTCTGTGCTGGGATGGACAGGACTTTCTCTGGCTGCAGCCTGAGACCTGACAGTGACTGTGTACTGGAAAGAAAGTTGTTGTCCAAAGTGATTCTTACTTAAATATTACTTGAATTTAATATATTTTATTATTTAAATGTTATTAAACATAACAATAAACTTTATTTCAGGCTTCAGAGTGCAAAAGGGAGAAGGTAGGTGGCAGCTTTGCCCTGCTGGCATCAAACCAGCAGATATCTAAGCTCATGTTTTATATTAGCAAATGATTTCTGGTGTTATTTCTGGTTTTAAGGAAATATTAACTGATATTTCCAGGTATTTCAACTCCAGCCCACAAGGTTTGGTGACGTGAAATGACAGAGGGGATTTTGAGATGAGCTCTTAGGCAAAAGCTCTTCCCTGGGAGGGTGCTGAGGCACTGGCAAAGGGTGCCCAGAGAAGCTGTGGCTGCCCCATCCCTGGCAGTGTTCAAGGCCAGGTTGGACACAGGGGCTTGAAGCAAGCTTCCCTAGTGCAAGGTGTCCCTGCCCGTGGCAGGGGTTGGAACTGGAGGGCTTTAAGGTCCCTTCCAACACAAACCAGGCTGCAATTCTAAGAAATAAAGCTGTCAGTCTCTTGAAGTCAAAGCCCTTGTGGGAAATGGGGACAAGTCATATCTGAGCCTCTGCTCTGCTGTGATTTTAAGTAGGGTTGTAAAAAACCTGAGTGCTGTTAGGAGGGAGGATTTGGGGTCCTCCTCCCCCCTGAAAAGCCAAGGTTCTGCTGGGCTGGGTCCCCTGACAAAGCTGATGGAGCAAGTGCAGTACCCAGCTGTCTGCATCTGGGACTTCAAGCTGCATTATTCACCCTGCACAAGTGCACCCAGGCATTCTTAGTGGCCTTTTTTGCCTTCATGTTGTTCCTTTAAATGATCTTTGAATTATATATTTTTCTTCTTTCCAGAATTTGATTGAGAGTTATTTGTCTCTCTGTTATACTGATTTTCCCACTTCATAAGCCTTTGCTTTAGCCCAGTACCCAATGTGGAAGAAAGACATTCAAAACCACTCAGAAATCCTTTTCTGCCCTCCTCCAGTCCATCTCCTGGACTGTCAGTCTGTTGCTTTCTAGCAGAAAACAAGGTTTGCATTGAAAACATTTAAAGCGACCTGTTTGCCCCATCCTTTGTGTTTTCTAAATGTCTGGGACAAGGTTATCAGTTAATTTTTTTACCAAGGTTTTTATAATATCTCTTCATATAGGAGAAGCATTCAGGACACACCAGCACTCAGGATTCTTCAGATGAAGGCTGGGAAATCTGACTTCATCCTGCTATATCCTCAAAGCAGCCATGTTTTGAGCCAATGCTTTTGACCTAAGTGTTGTACAATCACTAGTCAAGTGCATGGAAATAAAGCTGTCTTTTGGAAAATAATCCCCATGAGCACCTCAAACCATCCACACAGAGGATGCTTTGTTGTGTTTGTTTTCAGCTCCCTTCAATGCAATATTAGATGATCTCTGTGGAAGTAAAGGGAAACACTGAAAGGAAGAGGTATGTGATAGATGGGGAAAGACAGAGCAAACTGTCCTGGGCCTGCCTTCCTGGGTAGGTCTCTGCAGGAGAACTGGTCTTGGAGGTGTTGATGCAGCCAGAAGGAGTTTGGGGAGAGAGGAATTGAGAGGTTGTTTTGCTGATCAAGTCAAACTAATTATCCGATGGAGGAGGGTCCTTTGGGAGAACAGTTTGCACAACACAAGCCTCTGAGGTAATGCCTCCTGTGAGATAAAACCCCTCCACCAGCCAGCCTGGAGCATCCTGCTCCCAGGCATCTCTCCTTCAACCCATCGCATGGTCTCCAGGAGGAGCTGCAGGCACTGCATCCACCACCACCTTCCTCTTTAACCAAGCAGGTACAAAAGGGTTTGATGGGTGGTGGGTCCAGTTTGACCCTGGTCATGCTACCTCTCCCATGCTTTGATGGCATGTTGAATTTCACTCTTCTTCAGGGACTGCATTGATAGGGCAAAGGGTGATGGGTTTAAACTGAAACAGGGAAATTCAGGTTGGAGATAAGGAAGAAGTTCTTCCCTGTGAGGGTGCTGAGGCGTTGGCACAGGGTGCCCAGGGAAGCTGTGGCTGCCCCATCCCTGGCAGTGTTCAAGGCCAGGTTGGACACAGGGGCTTGGAGCAAGCTGCTCTAGTGGAAGGGGTCCCTTCCCATGTGTCGTGGTTTAAACCCAGTCAGGTAACTCGTTCACTCACTTCCCCCCCTTCTTTCCCTACCCCTACTCCCGGAGGGACGGAGAGGAGAATCAAAAAGAATGCAACTCCCACGGGTTGAGATAAGAACAGTTTAGTAACTAAGGTATAACACAAATCACTACTGCTACCACCAGTGATAATAATGATAAAGGAAATAACAAGGGAAGAGGATACATCATCTCAGCACCAGCCGACCTATAACTCGCCCCCCCCAGCCCGACCAAGCTCTGCCCGATACCTCCTCCAACTCTGCAGTCTCCCAGCCCTTCCGGCTAACTCCCAGTTACATCCTGGGCATGACGTGCTGTGGTATGGAATACCTCTTTGGTCAGTTTGGGTCACGTGTCCTGTCTCTGCTTCCTCCTGGCTTCCCCTCCTCCCTGGCAGAGCATGAGGCTCACAAAGTCCTTGGCCAAACCAAAACATCCTTGTTATCAGCTCTGTTCCCGAGCTGAAAGTCAAAACACAGCACTACACCAGCTACCAAGGAGGAGAAAAATGACTGCTACTGCTGAACCCAGGGCACCATGGCAGGGTGTGGAGCTGTGTGAGTTTTAATTTCCCTTCAACCAAAACCGTTCTATGATAACCCATGGCGTGAATAAAAGTGCCCTAGTATGCCTAGTAGGTTTGCTTCAAAAACACCAATGTTCCTGACCCCATCTACAACTGATTTAGCAATATTTTAGCATGAGAATATCCAAGCTAAAGCCTTAAGATTTAGGTTTATATATGGCATATTTTGTGTTTTACACCCTTAGGTGGATATTTGGGTTGGTCATACGAAGCTCACTGCAACCACAGCAAAGCTCTGCTGGAGCCAAGTCCACTGCTTTCCCTTAACATTATGCAGGGTGGGGGTTCTTCAAAAACAGATAAACTTAGAACTTAGAACAAATTTCAAGTGTGGTGTTGAAAAGGATGCAGCACAAGTAATGAAGCTACAGAAGAGCACTGATCCAGTCTGAAAAAAAAAAACAAAAAAGAGAGAAAAATAAACCTTAAAATTCCCAGAAATCAGTGAAGAAAATACAAAATCTTTTCTGTTTTCCACATTTTGAGATGCACTTCTTTGATTTTATTGTATTACGTTTGGATAGACATGATGTTTTGCAGTGTTTCATGTGATGTGTGTATCAATCATGGTAAAATTATTCTCTTTTAATTTCAGGCTGTGCAATGAGCTCCTTCACCTCTTTGACTTCAGATCTTGGGCTACACACAGAAATACACCATTACAAATACACCATTTTCCATTGAATTTACTTTATGGATTAAACTCCAACTAAACTTCCACATTATTTCTCTTGTAGTTATGTATTTCAGTGATTCCTTTCATTTCAATCCAAATCCATCAACTTGTTGAAATGACGGATACAGGAAACCTCACTGTTCTAAGCAGCTTCATCCTCTTGGGTTTCTCTGATGCCCCAGAGCTACAAACCACCATCTTCACAGTCTTCTTATCCCTCTATGTTTTCATGGTGCTGGGGAACCTGACGATGATCCTGCTGATCAACACTGACCCCCACCTCCACATTCCCATGTACTTCTTCCTGATCCACTTATCTTGCATGGATGTTTGCCTTTCCTCTGCTATCATCCCAAAAGCTCTGGAGACCTTCCTGCTGGGGAGAAGCCACATCTCCTTTTGGGGTTGCTTTGCCCAGATGTATATTTTTGTGGCTCTGGCTGTCTCTGAGAGCTTCCTGCTTGGGGTAATGGCTTATGACCGATACACGGCTGTGTGCAAGCCCCTGCTCTACACCACTACCATGACCAGGGCGCGTTGCTATGGCATGATGGTGCTGGTGTACAGCATCGGGTTCCTCACCTCCCTGGTGCACATCACACTGGCAGGGAGGTTGTCCTTCTGTCAGGCCAGGAGCATCAACCACTTCTTCTGTGAGCTGCCCACCCTCCTGCAGCTCTCCTGCTCAGACACCCACAGAAACAAGTTTGTGTTGGTGTCCAGTGCTACTTTTAACTCCATGGTCTCTCTCCTGATGATCCTGGTGTCCTACACCTACATTCTTCACACCGTCCTGCAGATCCCTTTGGCCACAAGAAGGCTGAAGGTCTTCTCTACCTGCGCCTCCCACTTGGCTGCCATCACCATCTTCTATGCACCTGGGATCCTCACCTACGTCCAGCCTCATGAGGCATCCTCATGGGATCAGGCAAAACTGGTGTCGCTGTGTTACTCCATCCTCACCCCAACCCTCAACCCCCTCATCTACAGCCTGAGGAACAAGGAGGTGAAGGGGTCTCTGAGGAGGCTGTGGGAGCGAAAGCTGCTGCCACATCTATGCAGGGTTTGAAAGCACATTTGGAGCTCTTCAGTACTGTGGAGGTAAGGAAGGAATATGTGGAATATGTGATTATGGAATTGAGCATTACTGGCCATTATTGGTCATTACTGCTCACCATTGGTCATTATTAGAGACAAGGAGATCACACAACAAGTGCAGTGTATGAAGAAACAGCACAACAAATGGCTGCCTTCAAACAGATTCTGGTGATTTTAAGTATGGACTGAGTCTCCAATAATTCATCCAAATAAGTATCAGCTCTTCAATAGCATGCCTGAGACAGCACCATGGTGTTTTGTGTTTAAATTGTACTAAATGAAAGTAGTTCCTACAAAAAGGAGTCTCAGCCTTGAGGTAAGGCAGTGACCACTGTCTCCATTGCCTGCTTGATAATTGTTCATCCCAAGCGAGCTTGAAAATCTGAGGGAAGGACAAAGATTCAATATAGCTCGGGTATTGCCTGCAGTTCTGATAGTTTTGGTGTCTATAGAATCCTAGAACCATAAAATACTTATGGTTGGAAAGGACCTTAAGATCATCTAGTTCCAACCCCCCTGCCACGGGCAGGGACACCTCACACTAAACCTTATCACCCAAGGCTCTGTCCAACCTGGCCTTGAACACTGCCAGGGATGGAGCATTCACATCCTCCCTGGGCAACCCATTCCAGTGCCTCACCACCCTCACAGGAAAGAATTTCCTCCTTAGATCCAATCTAAACCTCCCCTGTTTAAGCTTAAACCCGTTACCCCTTGTCCTGTCACTACAGTCCCTAATGAAGAGTCCCTCCCCAGCATCCCTATAGGCCCCCTTCAGATACTGGAAGGCTGCTATGAGGTCTCCACGCAGCCTTCTCTTCTCCAGGCTGAACAGCCCCAACTTTCTCATCCTGTCTTCAAATAGGAGGTGCTCCAGTCCCTGATCATCCTCGTGGCCTCCTCTGGACTTGTTCCAACAGTTCCATGTCCTTTTAATGTTCAGGAAACCAGAACTGCACACAATGCTCCAGGTGAGGTCTCACAAGAGCAGAGTACGCTTGGTTTGTGGGATGCAAACGCACACTGAAGCTGGCTCATATTCATTTTCTCATCGCCCAGCACCCCCAGGTCCTTCTCTGTAGGGAACATAAGAAGGCCATGGAGCTGCTGGAGTAAGTCCAGAGAAGGCCACGAGGATGCTCAGGGGCTGGAGCAGCTCCCATATGGAGCCAGGCTGAGAATATTGAGGCTGTTCAGCCTGGAGCAGAGAAGCTGCTTGGTGACCTCAGAGCAGCTTCCAGTGTCTGAAGGGGGCTACAAGGATGGAGGAAAGGGACTCTTCATCAGGAACTGTAGGGATAGGACAAGGGGTGGTGGGTTCAAACTGAAACAGGGGGGATCCAGATTTTATGTAAGGAAGGAATTCTTCACTATGAGGGTGTCGAGGTGCTGGCACAGGGTGCCCAGAGAAGCTGTGGCTGCCCCATCCCTGGCAGTGTTCAAGGCCAGGTGGGACACAGGGGCTTGGAGCAAGCTGTTCCAGTGGAAGGTGTTGGGGTTGGAGCTGGAGGAGCTTTAAGCTCCCTTCCAACACAAACCATTCCATGATTCCATGATTTTGCATAACTGAGGAGGGGTGATTCTCATTAACACAATAAAGGAGCTCTTTGCTCCTTTCGGCTCCATTCTTTCATCCTCTGCGGACAGGAATACATCAGAGGAGGCTGAATGCAGAGCTACTGCTGTGTTTAGGACATTGGATGGTGGAAAACCCAGTTCCCCTCTCCTTGAGACATCAGGGAGTGCAGCCACAGTAATTGCCATGGCCAGCATCACCTGGGTCCTTCTCACACACCCTCTGCCATAGGCTCAGGCTCTATTTAAGCTCAGTCCTGGCACTGGGCCCACTTCCAGGGCTGTGCTTTAACTGGGCTTGCTCCTGGTCAGTAGCAACCATGAGCCTGACTCTCAGTTTACCCTGGGCTATCAGTGGAAGCTGCTGCTGTGCTCAGGCACAGGGGGACTGTGCTCTGCTTTGTGGGCACTTTCAGCTCCCAGCTCACCTTCCCATTGGGAATAACTGGTCCTGGCTGCTCCCTTGAGGCATCTTGCATCATGCAAACAGCACGAACAACTCTCAATGAGAGGCAAGACCCTCTGGTGTCCAAGCTAGGGACAAGGCAAGCTCTAATGGAAACTAAGTGTTATAAACATCTCCCCCTCCTTGTCTGTGTCTGTCTCTTAGGGAAAATGACCCCTGTTCCACTGGGTGCTCCAGATAGATTTTGTTTCACTCTACATCAGGCATCCAAATGCAAACTCCTACATCTGAGGGGGAAAAAAACAAGTTAAAATTCTAGGTATACCATACAGTGGGTATGCTTAGTCATGATTTCTATGTCCAACTAACAGAAATGATGCTGAGAGTCTTTTCTCTTTTATTTTTAGCTATGAAAAACACCACGTCAGGACTAACTTGGGTGCAGCCATGTGCAAAGTACCATGAAGTAACAGATGATCCCCCCCCCTCCTGCAATGCATCCAGGTCTCTATTTGCTACAGAAAGAGCTTATTGCTAAAGGTCTCTAACAGGTTGCAGTTGGTTATTTCTGCTTTGCAGAGCATGAAGTTCTGCAGCATTCCTCAGTGGTACCTTCTCAGTTAACAGGTTGTGTTGGGGAAGAGTTGGGTGGGAGGAAATATCACTTACAGCAGCACCACAACAAGAAAATAGGGGAAGAAAACATACTTCTCCCTAAAGTCATTACATTCAATCACACTAAAATCCTTGGCAATAGGGGAAAATCCTACTCTCAGCTGCTACTTCTCCTAAACCGGATGTGAGATGAAGCCCACAGCAAGGAGGTTAGAAATAGGTGGCCTTTAAGCTCCCTCCAACCCACACAGTGCTGTGAAACCTCTTTGGCTGAGCTGGATGTTTCCAGTGGTAGGACGGAAGGTGCAGGATGACAGACACAGCTCTGCTGCCTCCAGGCTGGGATGTCCTGGTCACACAGAGATTCAGCATCTTCCCAATGCTCAATCACAGCACATACCATGCTCATCCTCTGGCAGCTCAGTGGCCCTGCTTCTCCTCCCGTTTCCTTACTTTGCACTGCACATCCTTCTGGAAGCAAATGGGATTTTATGCATTTCCTTGCGTTAGCCCAAAGTAAAGTGATGTATTTTGGATGTACCTCCTCAAAACCCTTCATCCCTCCTTGAACTTGCCTCTGGATGAATCACTGCTTGAATCAGTGCAACTTCTAAAGTTAAACTGAAGAGGGAAATTCCTCATGGGCTTCTTTTTGCCACCTCCTATGATATCACATCTATTTTCCCCAAAACAAAAACCCCAAGAGATGACAAGAGAATATTTATCAGAGACCTATATTGAGGGGATGCTTAACATCACTGAGCCTCTGCAGAGTTTAAAGCATGGTTAGAATGTGCTGTACCTGCTCCTGTAAAGACATTCAGTTCCTTCCTCCTCCAGACAGCTGATACCAAATGAGTTAAAAAGGGAAAGAGGAGGAGTTCTATCATCCAGCTGGGACCGGGTTGGTCAATGAGCAGCTCGCAATGAGGTTATTTGCTGTTGCTCTTCTAAGGGCATCTTTAACATCCTTGTTCCTCAAGCTGTAGATCAGAGGGTTGAGCATAGGGACAAGGAGGGTGTAAAACACAGCGGTGACTTTCTCTGTCTCCAGGGAGTACTTGGAAGCTGATTGCATGTGGCTGAGCCCAGCAGGGACATAGAACAAGGTAACGGTCAGGAGGTGGGAGGCACAAGTAGAGAAGGCTTTGTGCCTTCCTTCAGCAGACCTAATCCTCAGGATGGACAAGAGGATGTATACATAGGAGGTGATGATGAGGACGAGCACAGACATGGAAATGCTCCCATGAAGAATTACAAGCAAAAGCTCATTGAGGTGGCTGTTGGAGCAAGAGAGCTTCAGCAAAGGGTTAGTGTCACAGAAGTAATGGTTGATGGTGTTTGGACCGCAGAAAGGCAGCAACAGCAAGCAACAGATTTGGATTAGGGAGTTCAAAATCCCACCCCCCCCATGTATGATGCAGCCACCAGCTGAACACAGACCCCGTGGGGCATGGAAACCGTGTAGAGCAGTGGGTTGCAGATGGCTACATAGTGGTCATAAGCCATCACAGCCAGCAAGAGCACCTCTGTGGTCACAAACATGAGGAAGAAGAAATGCTGCAGGAAGCAGGCAGGATAAGAGATGGTTTTGTTTTCCACCAAGAAGCAGCTTTGGAGCAAAGACAGAGGAGTAGCAAAGATCGAGAACAGAGAGATTGCAGAGGAAGAAGTACATGGGGGTGTGCAGCCGGGGGCTTGTCTTGATCAGTGCCATCAGCCCAAGTTTGCCCATGAGAGTGATGAGATAAATCATGAAGAAGATTACAGAGAGGAGTCTGCATCTTGGGCTCGCTTGTCAGGCCGAGGAGGATGAAGTGGGTCACTGCAGTGTGGTTGCCTTCAGCCCTGTTACTGTATTGCATGGCAGCATCCCTGTGGGAAGGAGGAAAGATGGAGTGAAATAGGGAAGAGCAATGCCATGTGGCTTGCATGTACTCTGTTAGGCTGGACATTAAAACAATAAAGATTTGATAGTTGAGGCAACATCTAACTGTGGTTCTTGGTGAATCTTCACAGGCAGAGAAA